AACTCTTTTGTGGATATGTGCTCACAGCAGGTCGAAAATCACGATATTGGAGACAAAGTGCACATATTGTGTGGACAACAGGGACAGAGATTTGTGTATTGCATGTATTTGTATGCCGGGAGACTTTGCTGATAGGGCTCCATGCTACCAGTGGGAATTCTTGAGCAGTGGTAGGTAGGCTGTCACCCCAACTCCCTCGTACCTATGCTGTGACCTTGCTTCTTTGCTTTACATCAGCTTTCTCCTTCTATGCAGCGCTGACAAAGAGATTTGCAGAGCCGGCCTGGCACTGCAAACTCTGAAACACTTCTTCTGGTGATTGAGGGGCCACAGATGCTTCAACATACCCAGATGCGTGATAGAATTTCATGCAGCCGGTCAGCCATTTAGATCCAGAAACCGCACAACACAGCTTGGCAGCCCGACTTTTTCTGAGCATAGTTCTCAGATGTCGGATTGAATTCTATATCCTGAGGGTACGTCGCAGGACAAATCGGGCAAACCAAGAGAACACTCTGCTGATGGGAATTCTTTCGCAACCATCAGTATCTTGGCATATCAAGGGAGGGCCATTTAATTTTGTATTTTTTTGTTTCCATTTTGTTTTTTTTGTTTTTCGTGGCTTCTGGCTTCTGTGGCTTCTGGCTTTTGTGGCTTTTGGCTTTCGTGGCTTTCGTGGCTTCTGTGGCTTTTGGCTTTTGTGGCTTTTGTTGCTTTTGTGGCTTTTGGCTTTTTGGCCTATCCATCTATCTGTCTATATCTATATCTGTCTATATCTATCTATTTTTCTGTCTTTCATTCTTTCTTTTTGGCAGCTGTTCTCCTTTCTCTTTTTGCATTTGCTTTTCCTGTTGTTTTCGTTGCAGAGACGAAACCAAACAAGGAAGCAAGCAAGCAAGGAAGCAAGCAAGCAAGCAAGCAAGCACGAGCTGCTCACCTTTGGATCTGGTGTGCTGCTGGGGGGGGGCGCTGCGCCCCCCCGAACCCCCCCCGCGCCACGAAATCTGCACTTCATCCCCGACACCCGCGCCTGCCACTAAATCAATATTTTAAGGTGAACTCCCCGGTGCAAAACTTTCTAACCAAGCAAATATGCCTCCTCTATCTATCTGTCTGTCTGTCTATCTATCTGTCTATCTATCAGCCTTTCAGCATCGAATGGCCACGCCCGGCCACGCAGCCATGACTTGGCTGCACTTCTTTGGAGTCCGTGCTTTGCTCCTCCTGGTTTGGTTTTCTGCTGGACCTTTGGATTGGTGGCTGCCCTATGTTGCTGGCCGTTCTTTGCTTGCCCGGTCCTAATTCCGGGTCCGTTCCTGAGCACCTTGGTGAGTTCAACACACATTGTTGGAGCGGAAAAGGGAAAGGTTGGATAGTGGCCCAGCACTATCCTGGAAGGGGAAATCAAAATGTGATGTTCCACCGAAATCACCCTTAACTTCTGGGCGGAGGGCTTGTAGGATCCCACGGGATCACCAAACAAAAACGAAGCCTGATGCTTGTGTACAAACGATTGGCACTACATGGCTTTGCTCTCTACGGGGGGCAAATTTTGATGAAGGCACCCAATTGGTCTCCGCAACCTATGAGCTTGAGAGATCCAACTCCATTTCCGTATTGGCTAAGTCAAAGGATGGGAATGACGGTGATGACCTGGAACAACATGGTCCTTCCAACTACATCATTCACTCAACTCATGCAGTGGTTCACACGGCAGATGGCTGATGTGATATTCCTGCTATGCATACACTGGTCAATTGCAGACCTGTTTCCAGGACGTCTACAACATGTATGTTGTCAAGGTCAAGGACACTGTCTCGACCTCCTGTATTTTGACCCGTTCCCGGTCAGTGAATTTCCTGATCATTGTCCCCAGCTTGGATCAGCTCCTGCAGATGCCAGTGGTGCAGGATCTACAGAATTGCTCGAGGACGTCACCGTTGTGATGCAACTCCCTTGGCAGAGTGCATTTGAGATGGAAGAGCTACTCAATCCTGAACTCCATGAGATGCTGTATGCTACCAGGGATCTGGAGAATGTTGCCTATCCTCCTATGTTGCAGATTGACAATCATAACAGTCATGGGCCTGATCTTTTGCGCACCTACCTTGCTGCAAAGGTTGACATTGGATCACGACCTCTCTTCACGGTCTTCACCTGGGGCATCCAACACCAGGTCTCATTGGTGGCTCGGGTAGGTGTTATGCAGCGTGACAGGTCCTGCATGATTTCGCTACTTCATTTATGGCAAGATCTTGAAGGAAAGCAACCTTTGTTTGTGACTCTGGCCACTCCACAGCCTGACCCTTTGACTCTTCGCATACCCCCTGCTGACCTCATCATATTGACAAATGAGCAACGGCAGAGAGGAGAGCGGATTTTTCTGGTTGATGTCTTATTTTCAACACTTCCAAAGCGAATGGCCGTTGTGTATCAAACTGGAGAACTTCTGCGAGATTTGGTGTTGAAGGCAGGCTTGGGTGAATTTTGTATCAACACAAAAGCCAAGTGCGTACTGATACAGTTCCAAGATGGGACACGATCTCGATGGGAGTATATGCAGAAAATTCCAGGCCACATGGCTCGACCTTTGAGATGATTTTTGAGGACACCTCAACAAATGAAACCTGTGATGATGACCAGCAGGCACAATTCCCTCCAAGAGACCTAGACGACGACGAAGATACCACCATTTTGATGCAGCTGAGCGGAGACGACGCTGCAACTCCGAATGATGGGTCTGGGTTGGAGCAAGGTCGAGGGAGGACATCAATCCAAGCCTTCCTGCGTGCTTGCTGGCTTCGATCCTTCTGGGAGCCTCCTCTTATCCTGAACCATGAGCTTGTGGCTCCAGCATGGATATGGCACAGAGATGACATTGTCCGTGGACATTTTCAAAGACAAGCCTTCCAGAGAGGCAGACCTGCTCTACAGGGCTGGCTGTTCACGAGCAATGAACAAGAGGTGTGAAGAGAGTTTTCATGGGGACTCCAGCCTCCTGAGAACTGGTCTCAACAGCTCGAACATCTGTTGAGAGCAGGATTGCTGCGTTCAGCTGGTTTTACGGCGCTGCCTCAAAGGCTGTCCTACCCCTTGGCTGAGCAGAACATTGATGTGAGACTTGTCTTTCTGCCAGGGGATTACTTCCCAAGCAATGGTCTTGTGCTGGTTGTAGCTTTGTCCTTTGATCGAGCAGCAGGTCTATGGGCTGTCCGCTGTGGAATTCCATGTACGCCATTGATGCTGTTCCATCAGCGTGGACAGATGGCAGTCTGTGGCATATGGACATTGTGCCAAGTTCATTTCAAACATAGAGATTGCTGGAAAAGATTTACAGACACTGAAACGATACTATTGCCGGTTGCATCTCTGGTTGATCTGGATTTCAAGCCCAGCAATGTCAAAATTAATCAGTGTGAAAGCGTCAAGGTTGAGGAGCGCTATGCTCGAACTGTCGCGGATCACTTGATGGAGGCGGTTCCACGCAATCCCTATGTCCATGGCTTGACACCTCAACATACAACTCACAGGAGCAATGAAGAGGTCCCTGCGGAACAAGATGACTCTATGGCACTCATGCAGCGGCCCGTGAATGCTGGCCCCCTTCGAGTGCGGATGGGACAATTTGCTCGGCAGTGGTCGGGGCGTGACACCAATTTGAATACCATTTCAAGTGAGTTTCAAAGATACGACATAGAGGTGCGACGCAGACCTTTGGTGCGTCGCATGGATTTGGAGAAAACACTGCGACTCCACATGGCGCACAAACTCAGGATCGTCCGGATCTCCAACCTGTGCAGAGAAAGGAACTCTTTGGAAGCTTTGACCCTGATCTGATTTTTGTTGAAGCTCCACCACATCCACCTTCACTTCCTGATGATCCTGTATGGAAGTACCTGTCACGAAGAGAACTTGGAGTCAAAGTCCGTGCTGTCCATATTTGGATACCTGGGTACCTTCATGAACCAGTATGGGTACCGTACATGATCCTGGTGGATGACCGGCCACTGGTTAGTGAAATCTGGCGGAAGTGCAGAGATGATGCTCATCAAGACTCTGTTGGGCTGACCTTAGAGGCTGTCAATGACTTTGTTTCAAGAGATCGGGCTGCGCCAAACTTGCTAGGGGCCACTCGAGACCTGCTTCGTCTGGGATACAGGGCATTTTTGGTTGATCATAATTTTGACGCCGTCCCGCAGAAGCAGGCCTGGCTCTTTACGGGTCGGGAGTTGGCGCGTGACGTGATTACTCGTACTGGCTATGGAAACAGATGTTTGAGGCGGCCTTGTTACCTGATACGCTCCCGCCATGGGCTCCATGAAGTTTGGACTTACTATGACAAGGTTGCTGAACCACACGGGTCAAGCTTCCTCATCAGCCACACCAGAGAACCTGAATGCTTTCCAGTGGCGGAGGATCAATTTGCCCAGGAACAAAATGAGGATCCCCTTTCTGCACTCATGCTCCTGCAGACTGAGGTGTTGGTTGATATTCCATTTGACACTGATCAGGTGAGCGTGTATCAGTTCCTGCAAAGGTCGCATGTGCTGATTGAGGAAGAGGAGGCCCACATTGAAGATCGGGCACTTGTTACCCTTCAGGAGGAAACTGAATGGTTCATCATGGCTAGACGGGCAATGAGGCACACTGCCTTTCTGAACTTTCAGGTCTTGGAGCCGGAAATGAGGGCCCTGCGACTGGAGCAAGGCTATTTCCCGCCGATTCTGTTGTTCGGAGCTGACATCCGTCTTCCGAGATCAGTTCTCTTCCTCCACCATGATTTTGTCCTTGACCGATTAAATCTGGTATGGAAGTTGAGGTGATTCCTTGACCCGGACGTGCCATTTCGAGCACGTGCAAGATTTGTTGCTGTCACACCAAACCCGACTCCTGACCAACAAATGGGTAGAGGGGCCATGTGTGTGCTTGTGGGAGTGCAAGTTGCTTTCTCTACCAAAATGGTGCTCGTTGTAGCGATGGGGGCGAGACAGGGAATTGCACCAGTGCTCAAAGGGCACCTCTTGCCAGCCCGTATCCCGACGGACATGCTGCTACGCAGACTGGCCCTCTATGAATTCTGCAATTCTGCGGTGTTTCGTTGTGAAGTATCTCACCAACAACATGAATTACCCACTCTGGTGGCTTGGCAAGTTCTGGAGGGCATGCGAATTGACATTCAGGTTATTGAGCTTGGGCTCCAATGTGATTATGACAAGCTGAGACGCTTACAGCCACAAGGTCAATTAGTTTGGAACCGATTCATACGCTCTTACCTGAACCTTCAAGGACATGCACCACTTGTCATACAACCAGACACTACTGACGATGAGCATATGCTGTTACAGACTTTGGTATCTGGAGTGGTACGGACCGGGGTGGTCATGCCAAATGCTAGACCATGGAATCTTCGCCAGCCACAGAATCAGGAAAGATCGAAGATATGGCCCTCGTGCAAATTGCAGGACCTCAGCAGTCCCATGGTGGATCATTGCGGGAAACTGAGAGGGATGATGAGGCACCTCCTTCTACGTTGAGCTCGAGGACAATGATTGTTTCAGCGCACAGTGATGGGCCCCCTTTGTATGGGCCGTTTCGAAATCTGGACTATGATTGGTTACAGACTTGGAGCAATGTCCGAAGATGCCTGACGGAGTATGATAGCAATTTTCCCCTACGTGTCCAGCCTGATACTGTCTTTGTCCACATACTGGGCTACCATTCTCCGAATGGAGTCCTGCGAACCAGTGGAGTGTGTCCAAATTGGCTGTTGACGAGCTCAAGACCGGTTTGTCTTCTGGCTGATTGGTTCCAAGAAATGACATTTCAACTGTATTGGGAGTATAGTCGCGCATTTCCTAGGAGGAAGTCCATCAGAACACCCCCTCAATTCTGGTCATTCAGGAGCTTATTCAGGGCCAAATACCCATTGTCATTCAGATTCGACGAACCGGACGGATCGAGCATTTCGTCTACGTGGCTTTTCGATTTGAGCGAGTTGCTGGAATGCTCAACTGGGCTGAACACCAAACTCGCATTGATCGGCCTTATGAAGCCTTTTTGGATAGGAGGAGAGTCTTCGGTCATCAAGATGTTCCTCTTCGTCCGGGCAGTGTTCTGCAACTTCGGCTGCGTAGCAGTCTTGAGATGTTGTTTCCGCACGATTCGACGACTTGGACCAATAGTATACAAACTGGAGACACTGACGATACATGGGAGGCTCTACCCCTGGCTGAAGACATGGACATGCCACTGCAGGATGGAGAGCAAAATGAGGATAAGCGCACCTTGGAACCTATGAGGGCACTCCATGAACCTGCGCGCGGAAAACGAGCAGGTGGAATTGCTGCAAAGGGGAATCTGGCGGCGACAACGGAAGCCACCATGTCCAAGAAGTGACAACACTGCAAGACTTCCTGGTGGGCATAGAGGCATAGAGCTACCACTATTAAAGACGCACATAATGGTGAATATCCTGCCGAGCCTGGAATTTTAGGCCACCATCAGGGATGTGACGCAAGACTTTGTCTCCAGCATGTGCCTTTGCAGCTGCGCCACAGACGAATGGTTGAGCTCAACCTCCACATGGTTTTGCTCCACCACAGGCAGATGCAGGCCCCATTGAGCACGTTCTCTGCGCCTGGAAGACCTGCTGAGAAGGAGCGGAATGCCAGCATGGATCTTGAGGCTTCTCTGAACTCCACCAACTGAGTACTCTGATTTGATTTGTAGCCCTCTCCCAAGGAGATAGAGCTCAATCACATAAGTCTTGATCAAATGTGAAATTACGAAGTGACTGTGCTGGTCACGTGGAGGTATTTACGTTGTCCGTGCCCTCTCCTGAGGAGATTGAGCTAGACCCTCCACCTTTGATGTTGTTCTCAACTTCGATCGATTCCCTGCTGTGTTCTCCTGTGAATCGCAGGTACCACCAATCGTGTGCAGGCAAGCTTTTGTCCTTCCATGAGGCTGCCATAGCGGTTTTTGGCATCATGTTATGGAACATGGCTCAGCATTACAACTTCTGGTTGGCGGTCCCGCTTGACCCCCCTCCGGACAGAATCCAAATCAACTGTGGAGGACTAGGGGGAGGCACTCTTGAGCCCCGCTTTCTTGAGACCACTCGAGAGCGCACGAAACTGAAACTGAAAACTGTCTATCTATCTATCTATCTTTCTATCTATCTATCTATCTATCCATTTATCTTTCTATCTTTCTATCTATCTGCAGTTCAAAAAGTACTGCACCTGCCACGAAATCTGCGCTTCAAGGTCCACAAAGTCTTGCGCCTGCCATGAAATCTGCACTCCAAGGCCCATAAAGTCCTGCACCTGCCACCAACTCTACACAAAGTCCTGCATCTGGCACGAAATCTGCACTCCAAGGTCCACAAAGTCCTGCGCCTGCCACGAAATCTGCACTCCAAGGGCCACAAAGTACTACACCTGCCACGAAATCTGCACTTCAAGGCCCGCAACAAGTCCTGCGCTTGCCACAAAATCTGCACTCCAAGGCCCACAAAGTCCTGCACCTGCCACCAACTCTGCACTTCCACATCCACAAAGTCCTGCACCTGCCACGAAATGTGCTTTGCAAGGTCCACAAAGTACTGCACCTGCCACGAAACACGAAAAAAGAATCCAAAAAAAAACAAAACAAATTCCAAAGTTAAGTCGCGGCCCCATATCAAGCTAGTAGGTTGGAGGCCATTCCTATTAGGTTGGAGGCCATCGCTAGTAGGTTGGGAAACCTGATTTTTGTGCAGGGGCTCTTAGTTTGTGTGGCGAAGCGGCTTTGCCAGGAATGTCGGTGTCGCATACCTCCCACTCGTACAGCAGCGGAAGTTCAGGAGATTGTGTCACTTAGACTTAGAATCAATGATTGATTGTTTTTTGGAAACATTGTTTCATTGCCGTAGCTTGTTGATGTTAGCATAGTGCTTCCAATGTACAGTAATCACGTGCAGCACAGAAAGCTGGGTTTAGCAACTTTATTGGGTTTGTTGATGGAAGTAAGTGATGCAATCCAGCGTCGGAGAGGAAGTGGAAGCGGAAGTGGAGGAGGGGATCTGGGCTGAACAGTGTATTCTGAGAAGTGCACGTGTCTGCTGGATGTTCGAAAGGAGTGACCAGAACCAGTGTACTTTGCTTATTAAGTAGATTTCAGTAGTTCTTTTGGTGTAGCTGGCTCTAGCTTGATTGGGGATGTGAAGACTTTGTGCACTTTCCACATTTTCGAGGGCAGTGTTTCGCTTGCATCAATGATGCAGCCATGTAAACCAACAGACCTTGTGCCACTCAGAAGTAATTCGGGGTGTCGAAGATTTGGAAACCTTCACAGTGATTTTTGGGATGTGAGGAATGTCTGTCTCCCATTCCACTCACTACAGCAGCGGAAGTTCAGGAGGTGCTGAGAGTCCTTATGCCACAAGCTTTGCTTAAATGTTGTGTGTTGATACACAGGAATGTGCATATATAGATATATATATATGGTGCAAAATAGCTTAAGGCGGCCTTTCTGCGCCATGTCAATTGCACGGGTCCCAACATAAAAGAAACTGTCACTGCCAGGAACTATTTAGAATCACCACAAAACCACCTCAATGTATGTTGTGTGCGCTCTCGAGTGGACCGATCCCTTCTCTCCTTCGAACCTTCTCCGACCTGTTGAGCTCGTCATAGGTCACCTTGTAGCGAAAGCCTAAAGTGACATACATCATTGCTTGATGCTTCTCACTCACCTTGGTCAGGCTGTTTGCTATCATAGCCCCGCCATGAACCCAAAACAACCTTGTCTGACACTCATGAAAATGATCTCGCAATGAAATTGCCTCAATATCCGATCTCTTCTCAGCTCCTTTAATGACAACTGTTGCTCTGTGAAGTTTATCATACAAGTTCCGAGAATCGGTAATCGGCTCTCTTGGATCCAATGGACGTCCAGACATCTCTGACCACAACACGGCAGATCTCCAGAAAATTGGACTCACATCACGTTCTTGGCCCTGTGTGAACTGAGCATCGCTCATTCCAACAAAGATTCCTGCTGTTGAGGCTTTTCCGTTTGGACGGTTTGCGAATGCTGCATCCGCCCATACCACCATTGTCAAGTCGGATTCCGGTTGAAAGCTGTGTATCTTGTATTCTTGCGACTTCCACTTGCGAACTGCTCTCACCAATGCATTTGTTTTGTTGACTGTTTCCACGGTTGCCACCGGTATTTCTGAGACTAGGAAATTTGTGTCAACAGAGAAAAGAAAGCATGTCTGTCCACACAACCATGACAGGCTTCCAAGCACACCCCGTAAACAACTCTTCTCCCGATCTGTTGCTGGCAACTGCGGTTGTCTGGACCGATCTCGTTGAATGGGAATTTCATCTATTTCTTCAATGAAACGTTGCTGACTCAAAGTGATAGAGAAATCATCCCCTTGTTTCACCAAAATGCCACACTGTTCAAATTCTTTGACCTCCCAGGTTCCCCAAGAAAATGCTGCTTGAAGCTGTGACATCAGTGATTTGTGGATTGGACAATTCTCATCTCCCCCAAAGACAAAGTCGTCCACGTGCCCGTGAATCATGGACCGCACTGTGCCCGTGTCATCAACATAGATCCAACAACATAGTTCTGTCACCAACCTTTGATATCCCAGCTTGTTCATGGTGTTGCAAACTGAGTGATACCATTGTAGAGGTGCTTGTACTAATCCGTAAGCTGCTTTGGTCAACAACATTGGTGTGTCTTGTGCTACTCCCAGTTCTGCACATATTTCAGGTAAAGGTCTGCACCACAAAGCTTCTGCAAGATCTCTCCCTGTAGAAATGCC